TACATTCCATCAAGATATGTTCAATGGTCTGCACCACATATGGTTCATAACTTAAGTATAACTTTTATTCTGTATTTGTTATGATGGTTGGAAACCAAAGATACACCTATCTCTCTTGGCTTCGGAAAACTATTCTTCAAAACAACGGGGTACTCATAATTTGAACTATAAAAGTGTTGATTTGAATGACATAACCAAATTTGAATCTCGTCAGAATGCAGATTTTAAAGAGTCATACCTTCAGTTTGGTCACAGACAGACGGACAATGTTACATAAGAAGTGATTAATCATCACAAATGTCAGACTTTGACATGTGAAAGCTTTCAAGCTTCCTTAAAAGCTTTTAGAAAATATACATTTGTAACTATTGTAAGCCCAGGTGCTTCATTAAATATTCAGCTGATGTCACGGTAGTGATGAGGAAGGGCCGCGCTTTATTTTCCCAGAAGACCATGCTTAAAACCCTTCACTGTTACACACACAAGTTCGGCATGACCATTGTTTTTCAGGTAATAATGCTTTGCTTGCTGTTAAGAATGAAATTAATTAACACGATGTGCTTATCCAGTGTAAGACATATTAATAAATCTCGCAATTTCGACAGTCATAAATTAGTGAAAATACTTGGGAAATTCAAGGTCTAAGAGGAGTGTTTTAATTGTAACTAATTACGGCCTTGATTGGTCCGATTGGGTGAAGACAATTACCCAATGATTCCATCTCACACAAGTGAGTGAGTGAGTGAGTGAGTGAGTGAGTGAGTATACCATGGTAAGTCAGCTGTGGGAGGGAAGCCCAGAAGGGATGCAGGTCTCTGACATTTACCACTTTTGTGAAACCCACCAGTATGGTGCTGAAGAAAGCTACATACATAATCAGGGGGATTTAGGCTTGGGCTTATTGAACACTGCCAATCTGTAACATATGATATGATTGGGATTGCACTTTCTTAATAAAGTACAGATGCTAGTAATTTTGTTAGGTTGAGGCCCATCTGGAATTTGAACCAATGCCCTTTTGAGGAAGCTGGGTACTGGCGATTAGGTGCTGACTGTGAGAGTGTGGGTTGGAATCCCAGATGGGACTCACCCTGTAAAAGTACTTGAATCTGTACTTCATTCAGAAAGTGTAATCCCAATTATAACATATGTCACATTCAACCACTTAATAAATGGCATTGTGCAAACGTGGTCTGAAACCACGTTCAGTTCTACTGCTATGTACCCACATAATCATCTTAATCACTTTCAAGGTAGCCACAATACAGTCCACACACGGTTGTCATTATGGCCACCCGATTCACATTCTACAGTTACATGGGATCTACATGTCCTCTAGTAATGTCACACGGCAGTCATTTGTGGCCACCCGATTCACATTCTACAGTTACATGGGATCTACATGTCCTCTAGTAATGTCATATGGGGACAACACACACGGCAGTCATTGTGGCCACCCGATTAGTCAACTGGGTGCTACTTTGGTCGACGCCATCTTTGAGATCGTCTTGCCTGCGCCCTCAGCATGGCTTTTGTCGATGTCGACACAGGTGCTGCGCACGAATTTCTAAACAGTTAAAACGGAATTTTCATGTCTCGACTAGAAAATAACTTTTACTGTCAGTCAGGATTTGTAAGAATTTTGTCTAAAGTCAAAACAATGCCATGTGCATCAATTAGAGCCAGCGGGCTGTAGCTCACCTGGGTGTGTAGTCACCTACTCATGTCGTCCATAACAAGAAAAAACACCCAAAGCAGGAGTATAAAATATATTTGGGGCGATGGGATAGCCTAGTGGTTAAAGCGTTCCCTCGTCACGCCCAAGACCTGGGTTCGATTCCGCGCAAGGGTAAAATGTGTGAAGCCCATTTCTGGTGTCCCCGTCGGGATATTGCTGGAATATTGCTATCGCTTTATTGACTACAGCGGCGTAAACCCCAACTCACTCACTCATACATTCCATCAAGATATGTTCAATGGTCTGCACCACATATGGTTCATAACTTAAGTATAACTTTTATTCTGTATTTGTTATGATGGTTGGAAACCAAAGATACACCTATCTCTCTTGGCTTCGGAAAACTATTCTTCAAAACAACGGGGTACTCATAATTTGAACTATAAAAGTGTTGATTTGAATGACATAACCAAATTTGAATCTCGTCAGAATGCAGATTTTAAAGAGTCATACCTTCAGTTTGGTCACAGACAGACGGACAATGTTACATAAGAAGTGATTAATCATCACAAATGTCAGACTTTGACATGTGAAAGCTTTCAAGCTTCCTTAAAAGCTTTTAGAAAATATACATTTGTAACTATTGTAAGCCCAGGTGCTTCATTAAATATTCAGCTGATGTCACGGTAGTGATGAGGAAGGGCCGCGCTTTATTTTCCCAGAAGACCATACTTAAAAACCTTCACTGTTACACACAAGTTCGGCATGACCATTGTTTTTTCAGGTAATAATGCTTTGCTTGCTATTTGTTAAGAATGAAATTAATTAACACGATGTGCTTATCCAGTGTAAGACATATTAATAAATCTCGCAATTTCGACAGTCATAAATTAGTGAAAATACTTGGGAAATTCAAGGTCTAAGAGGAGTGTTTTAATTGTAACTAATTACGGCCTTGATTGGTCCGATTGGGTGAAGACAATATTACCCAATGATTCCATCTCACACAAGTGAGTGAGTGAGTGAGTGAGTGAGTGAGTATACCATGGTAAGTCAGCTGTGGGAGGGAAGCCCAGAAGGGATGCAGGTCTCTGACATTTACCACTTTTGTGAAACCCACCAGTATGGTGCTGAAGAAAGCTACATACATCATCAGGGGGATTTAGGCTTGGGCTTATTGAACACTGCCAATCTGTAACATATGTTATGATTGGGATTGCACTTTCTTAATAAAGTACAGATGCTAGTAATTTTGTTAGGTTGAGGCCCATCTGGAATTTGAACCAATGCCCTTTTGAGGAAGCTGCGACTTTGGGTACTGACAATTAGGTGTTGACTGTGAGAGTGTGGGTTGGAATCCCAGATGGGACTCACCCTGTAAAAGTACTTGAATCCGTACTTCATTAAGGAAGTGTAATCCCAATTATAACATATGTCACATTCAACCACTTAATAAATGGCATTGTGAAATCAGTGCTAATGTGGTCTGAAACCACGTTCAGTTCTACTGCTATGTACCCACATAATCATCTTAATCACTTTCAAGGTAGCCACAATACAGTCCACACACGGTTGTCATTATGGCCACCCGATTCACATTCTACAGTTACATGGCATCTACATGTCCTCTAGTCATGTCATATGGGGATAACACACACGGCAGTCATTATGGCCACCCGATTCACATTCTACAGTTACATGGGATCTACATGTCCTCTGGTAATGTCATATGGGGACAACACACATGGCAGTCATTGTGGCCACCCGATTCACATTCTACAGTTACATGGGATCTACATGTCCTCTAGTAATGTCATATGGGGACAACACACGGCAGTCATTGTGGCCACCCGATTCACATTCTACAGTTACATGGGATCTACATGTGTTTTAGTAAGGTCATATGGGGACAACACACATGGCAGTCATTGTGGCCACCTGATACACATTCTACAGTTACATGGGATCTACATGTCCTTTAGTAATGTCATATGGGGACAACACACACGGCAGTCATTGTGGCCACCCGATTCACCTTCTACAGTTACATGGGATCTACATGTCCTCTAGTAAGGTCATATGGGGACAACACACAGCAGTCATTGTGGCCACCCAATACACATTCTACAGTTACATGGGATCTACATGTGTTTTAGTAAGGTCATATGGGGACAACACACACGGCAGTCATTGTGGCCACCCGATACACATTCTACAGTTACATGGGATCTACATGTCCTTTAGTAATGTCATATGGGGACAACACACGTGGCAGTCATTGTGGCCACATTCACATTCTACAGTTACATGGGATCTACATGTCATCTAGTAAGCATATGGGGACAACACACAGCTGTCATTGTGGCCACCTAACACATCTCTACAGTTACATGGGATCTACATGTGTTTTAGTAAGGTCATATGGGGACAACACACACGGCAGTCATTGTGGCCACCCATACACATTCTACAGTTACATGGGATCTACATGTTTTAGTAATGTCATGGGGGACAACACACGGCAGTCACAGGCCACCCGATTCACATTCTACAGTTACATGGGATCTACATGTCTTTTAGTAATATATGGGGACAACACACGGCAATCATTGTGGCCACCCGATACACATTCTACAGTTACATGGGATCTACATGTCCTTTTAGTAAGGTCATACGGGGACAACACACACGGCAGTCGTTGTGGCCACCCAATACACATTCTACAGTTACATGGGATCTACATGTCTTTTAGTAATATATGGGGACAACACATTAATATTCTGCAGTTGATCATTGTGGCCACTGGACACACATTCTACAGTTACATGGGATCTACATGTCCTTTAGTAAGGTCATACGGGGACAACACACACGGCAGTCGTTGTGGCCACCCAATACACATTCTACAGTTACATGGGATCTACATGTGTTTTAGTAAGGTCATATGGGGACAACACACACGGTAGTCATTGTGGCCACCCGATACACATTCTACAGTTACATGGGATCTACATGTCCTTTAGTAATGTCATGGGGACAACACACACGGCAGTCATTGTGGCCACCGATTCACATTCTACAGTTACATGGGATCTACATGTCTTTTAGTAATATCATATGGGGACAACACACGTGGCAGTCATTGTGGCCACTCGATACATATTCTACAGTTACATGGGATCTACATGTGTTTTAGTCAGGTCATACGGGGACAACACTACAGTGACAATTTCATGACAAACAGATTGGATTCAAACCAGATATTTTCCATCCAATAAGCCCCTTCGTTCTCCATGAGATTGACAAAGAACAGGATCTGATGTAACATATATCAATACCATTTTATTGCATATTCATGAGTACACGTCTCAGTACAGTGACATGGTTGTATAGAACTCTATGTACATTGCGTATCATGTCGACCTGGCCTGATTGTCCAGTGAAAGTGACGGAAAGACACTGTGCATGCTAGCTACAGTTGTAGATAACTTAAATAAGAGAGACAACATGAGTAGATACAGACAGGTGAGACTTTAGAGTACAGGCCACTTGCAAGAAACGTCTAATGGAAGGTAGAATTGGGGTTTCAAAAACAAAATGTTGTCATGACAACACTTAAGAAACACAACTGACAATGTTGACCTGCATTCTCTGGGTCATAGACAATAGGTGAGATGTCCTTGCAACATTGTTTGCAGACAATTTGTTAGATGTCTGTTGCAACAATGTTCACAGAAAATAAGTGAAATGTATCTTGCAACATTGTTCACAGGACAATCAGAGGGGTGTCCTTTCAACATTGTTTAGTCAGTGAGATGTCTCTTGCATCATCATTTACAATCAGTGAGATGTCTCTTGCAACATCACTTACAATCAGTGAGATGTATCTTGCAACATTCTTCACTAGACAATCAGAGAGATGTCTCTTGCAACAATGTTTACAGTGAGTGAGATGTCTTTTGCAGCAATGTTCACAGAAAATCAGTGAAATGTCCTTGCAACACAGTTCACAAAATATGGGATGTAACTTGCAACATTCTCTTCAGGAGACTTGCAACATTCTCTTCAGGAGACAATCACTGAAATATACCAACATTGTTCACAATTTCTGGCTACTTTAACTTGTAGCCGCCTTGTAATAACGACAACAGTTGTGTTGAATAGGTTACAGCCTTCTCAGCCTATCACCCATAGGTAGAATATCAATTACCATTAACAAGAAGAAACAACATATTTCAGAAAGCATTAAGTTACTCAGTACATCACCAACCAACAGTGAAAACTGGAGTTCTTTCCAACTATGCAATGTATTCATGTCAAAAATGAGTATATTTATCACCAACCTAAGTGCATATAAAAAACGCAACAATGAAAATATTATGTTTTGCAAGAACAGTACTATGCTGGACATACAGGGAGAAGTCGGGAGAGACATTCCTCACAATAATTACAAAAATGTCATAGGAATCGGAAGATATTTATGCTTCTGGTAACATTCTTTTTATACCAAAAAATGTACAATCTCATTCAACTTCCCGTCAATTTGATACTTTGTTTCTGAAAATGCAATAAAATGTTTAGTATTCAGTGTATATAGCTGATGTGGTTTGCAGTATATACAGACTAGAGTAGAGTTGAACAGAGGTCACAGGGTCCCACCTCTCAAATTCAGCCAACAATTAACTCATCAAACTCTATCAGTACAATATCAAACACATTCTAATAGCACTTTGGAGTTGACTTGCAAAATTTGGATGAATCGATAAATTTCTTGCACAAATCTTAAAATGACAATTCTCAAAAGAGGGAAGTGTTATGCAATTTACATTTGACTAGAATCAAAACACAAAATATGACAATAATAATAATATGCTTAGATTACATAACGCAGACAATAATAATAATGATGATAATAATAATAGGCATGCACAATAATAAATTATGATGTGAGGATATGGGTGCAAAATATTGCAGTAAGCTTACAAGGACAGTTCTACAGCTGTAGTTCATGTCGGAGAAATATACACCTTCACACTTCCATGTACTAGAATGTACATACATGAAGCACAGAGCACATCACAGAAACTACAGTTCTGTTTGCAACAGTGTTTATGAGTAAGACATCTTGTCAACATGATGTATAAAATATTTGTGATACAACTCACAGACAAAGCATTTATTTTTCATTCTTATTTTGTATAAAACTTTAACAAAGTGTGAAAATCATAACAAAAGTGCTGAAATGATGATGAATTCAGGAAGGAGTTATCTACCTTTGACCAATATAAAGAGACATTGAGTATGTGGCGAGTTTGGCCTGTAGGTGTCCAGGAGGTACACCAGCACTATGGAAACACACAAGTACTACACCTCAGACAATCAGCTGACAGTAGGATTGCACAACATGTTCACTGAATGAGATGAAACATTTTTAGATTCAGGGGCTCTACACTGTATTCCACCCCTACATGTTTCTGTTACCATAAATTCTCATTATCCCAACCCACTCAAACCCTTCACATTCTTGTACTCTCACCCCACCAGATCCCACCCCTTTTCCCACCCATCCCTGCCCCGACTCTTGTTCTCATCTCACCCATACACATTCTCACCCCCACCTGCTGTCCCACTACCCCCAAGGTAATACTGGTAGGGTGAATCTACTGAGCATTGCGGAGACATGACACAGGGTTCTCGGCACCCTCAGACAGATATTAGAGAGACATTGTATAAAGGTTAATATTTCCACAGCTATAAAGAACCATAGTTCATAGGCAACTGTGCAGGAATAGGCCATATGAACATACAACAAAAGGATCCACAAATGTGTACATCTACAACATGTCATCCATACCATTATGAAAAAACTCTTTCCAATCAGTACATATATATATATTTACAGAGTTATGAATTTATATAAATCAATTAAAATAGACAATTTTCTTTCAAATAAATTGCTGCAGTTTAGCATGTTTGAATTAACAACCTCCTTGTTTGCCCTGATGCTAAACAATAGCTCTGTGGATGTGTTTTCAGTAATTGTGAGCCCAAACCTTCCATATGAGCGTGCCTCCTCTCTCGATATTGATTGCTGTGTGGTGAACATGTCAATCCTTACTGGGAATGTAATCTAGCAGATTAAAGCTTAGCACGGCCGGGGAAATCAATACACAATTTTCCCTGGTGATCATCCCCAGCTTAACCTAATCCTCTGAGAAGATCTGCAGTGCGGCATTGTTCGTCAATCCCAGAACTACAGACATGAAAGCTACCATTGATCTTTCAAGTATCAAAGAGAAGCTTACCTCTGCAATCAATATCGGCCTGTCAGTGGTGACACACATTTCAAATTTGGCTTTGTTTGTTTAACAAAAAAATATGGATTTGCAGAACTTACCACAAAAACATTGAACTGATTGGAAACTTAAAAACAAGAGTCTTTGATCAGTGATAGTGTCCATGATAGAAACATGGTGGAGATTTGTCATATCTAATGCTTATGTGAAAGAAAGGGTGATGTCCCATCTCAAGATTGGTCAGCATTTGGACAGATGTTGTGATTATTTCTACCTGTACTGGCAATTCCTACTGTTTCCTGATAGTCAAGGTCAGTATCTGGTCAAATACTGATAATTTCTAATGGTAGTTTTTTTAGTTATATTGTTTTTGATAGTCAAAAGCTTGCGTAGAGCACAAAATCTAACTTAACATAATACAAAATAACAGCAACAAACAACAGATCTAGTGATCCAACTAAAACAACAAGTGATGAGTACCCATAATATGCTGATGATATTGTTATTGCACTCAGACATTCAACACAGAATCACATCATGGAAGTCCATCCTGATACCCCTCAACGTCTTCCCTAGCCATATCCTACCAGTCAGCTGTTTCAGTTTAGTATTTCAAACAATCATTGACTTTCTACATCTTACCCCTCAACGTCATCCCTAGTCATATCCTACCTGTCAGCTGTTTCAGTTTAGTATTTCAAACAATCATTGACTTTCTACATCTTACCCCTCAACGTCATCCTAGTCATATCCTACCTGTCAGCTGTTTCAGTTTAGTATTTCAATCAATCAGTTTTCACCCTTGTGTGATGCATTCTGAGCACTTTCCATTTTCCTAGTTATGTAAGTTTTGGAACATGGTTGACTGGTAATCTAAGTATGTGGACATGGCATTTAAGTAATCTAACTATAGGGAAAGTGCTGTAAAGACGTGACTAGTTGGTCATGTGAGACATTGAGAACAGGTCTAAAACAGAAATATTTCAAACTTGGACCTTTGCGGCTCAAAATTCCGAATAAGGCAATATTGGTATTAAAGACACAATGTATTAAAGAAGGATGGATGGGTTTATGAGGAGCATCAGGATCTGACCTTCATGTGGTTTCCGTAGCAACAAGGTGATACTTGCACAGATGGTCACACACACTCTCAGAAACATACACACACATTCTCACACAAGTATTTAGTTACCAAATGTAGGTATCAAATGTTATAAATGTAAGAACAAAATTAACACATGTAACATCCGGTGAGATGTTAAGTAATTCTCCTCTTAGTGAGTACTGATCAGTATACGTGAATGATGAGGGATGTTGCAGATATTAAAAGTGCTCAGGTGCTCAGTGCTTGCAGTGGGTACAAAACACATTTTAGGGACCAAACTTGAAAGAAACAGTGTACTAGTTTCAACCAACTAGTCACCTGCTTATACGAGTCAACCTTGATATTAACCAGGAAAGAGAAGGGGTTGGCAACATCTAAAACATAATTCAGATAGAAAATAAACAGAGTAAGCCCAGAGGGCCCATAAGACAGAGAAGCATATGAGAATGAATTCACAAGTGAATGTTAAACCAACTTAATGACAGTTGTTGAATCATGACTGTTGTAAATCTAAGTACAGGGCTCCTGATTGTCAGACTGTTGTAAGTCAACGTAAAACAATGCAAAGTAAGACAATCCAAGCACTTCCGTGAAACATGATTGTGGGCAGCACCCAAATTACTCCGTAAATAAACCTGTTGTTTCCACACATTCCTAATTATTAAAGCAGATGATTTTTTAATTGACCACACTGTGAGTACAGAAAGGTTGCCACCAGATACGATCATCAGCATAAGTGTACATACAGATGAAAAGTTGCCTGATATTTAGCACAGAATCAATGGTCGTATTGATATGAGGCACTATTCATTGTAACATTAACTCCTTGGCTGTTTGGCACAATCTATGGTAAATACATTGACCCTGTTCAGATACCAACATACAAATCAAGTGAGAGATTAAGTAGAATAATATCACTGCCAGCAACATCATCCGTTAGACTATAATATCATTATTCATGTTACTTGTGCGATCGTACCAACAGACAATAACAATGGAAGCAAACCATAGCATGTATAGTGTATCTGCTATAAACATCTGCTGCCTCCAGCAAGTAGTATTTATTGCTAACACTTATACCGTCCCAAGTCCCCATCAACAATAAGGGGAGACAACTCACATCACGTTCATGTGACAATCAATAAGCCAAATAACCATGCCCTGAGCAAAACATCTTATAGCTGAAAGGTTTTATCTGCGAAGACTGATTGATTCTGATTGGTCAAATAAGACAAAGACCTGGAATCTAATTCAATCTGTTTGAAATAAAAATATGAGCTGATACCTTTAAATTAAAATAACAGTAGGTTCAGCTCATTATTAAATAAAATTGAATAATGAATTTATATTCATTAAGAATTTTATGAATAAACTGAATTGAAACCAGTTCTTACACACAAAAGATTTACAGAACTGTGACCGCCAGAAATAGGTTTAAGTAAACAGATGTCCAAGTCACAGAGCCGAGTGTTTAATACAACATGGAGGATCATGTTGGTGATAGTTTGCTTGAGGGATGGTTAAATGTCTGATTAACTGCATGTTCAACATTGTAATCTCAAGGGAGACTGGCTTCTTGACAAATAGAATAATCTCAAGTGAGACTGGTCTATTGACCAATAGGATGGAGGAACACAATACTGTCCAAATCATGCACTAAGACGCATACGTTTAACTTTGGCCCGGTGGTTCTTAAACCACAACTGGACATTCTTGGGTTCGAGCCGAGGGAACTTGGCCCGGTACTCAGACCTATTCAGTTCTTCACAGTATTTATCAATCATGTACGCCGAGGGATGGGTGTCCTCCAGGAACCACTTCTCTAGTTTGGGGATCTCTGTGAGGGGGTCGATGAAGACCCGCGTGCGGCGACGCTTCCTCGTCTCATGATGCTTGTGGGGGGAGTTGTGTTGCTGAGGGCCATGAGGTAAAGAGTTTGACTGGGGGGAGTAAAAGCGTAGCATTCACCGGGTAATAGGTCATGAGTGGGGGAGGTAACTGGGGCACATGTAGAGGCTGGGCCATCTGGGCAAGAGAGAGGGCGGCCATATTTGCCGCACTCGAGTTGGCAACTGACACTGGCATCATCATGGCATTGCGGTAGTCGTGTTCGCTGTCATGCTCCTTCTTCAACATAGAGATGGGCTCTTCACCGGAGATGCTCACATCTGACATGTCATCACTAGACTCGTACTCTTCATCTTCGACATCATCCTGGTCGACGTCCTCCATCTTGTCGTCGTCGTCATGGTTGTTGTTGTAGTTGTCCACTTCCTGTTCCTGTTTCTGACTACTCTCCACACTACTCTGCACAGAGCCGTTCATACATGGGTAGCTCATGTCACTCTTGGCTTCAGCCTCATTCTCATAATGACAAGGATCAGGCGTTTCACGTTTAATCGTTGCCTCATAAGGACTGTGTGCCATATTAATGTTATTTCCATTGAAGGACTTCATTGGTACAATACTGTCTTGTACTGGCTGTGATTTCTCCTGGGGTTCCGATACCTCTTCCTGCCGTTTCTTAGCAACCGAGAGGTCACAAGGTTCATCGGCCTGGCCATCTGAGGGCATGATGTGGGAATTAAACGGAAACGGAATCATATACACAGCATTTTTATTTGGAAGATAGGGGATACTTGAGGGAGCCACGTCACCATTTTCCTCATTCTCAAAAGAATCATCCATGGCCTTTGAAGCCCGTCTCTGAGCAGCACGGGCATTCTTGAACCAATAAATAATGTTTGTAAGGTCCAGGGGTCGCCTGCCTTTCCTTGAATCTAGGGAGTTGAGTTCATTCATGTACTGAATCATCTGCTCCCTTGATGGATGCTGGTTGTCCTGGAACCACTTCTGAAGTCTCGGGATCTCATGTTCCGGGTCAAACGACGTGCGGATACGTGTTCGGCAGTGATTGAACAGAGGTGATGTGGTATGGTTCTCCTTTGACTCGGATGATGGGATGATGGGACTGGCCGGTTTCACTGGCTCAATCAGCTTGTCACTGTCTGCAGTCTTCGGCTGCTGCTGCTGCTGTTGTTGCTGCTGCTGCTGCTGCATCAGAGGAGGTGGGCGCTGCCGCCTCGTCAACTGGTCCCGGTACCACTTGTCAAATGCGTTCAGCACTTCGTCTGATAGGCTGTCAGGTTTCTCACCACGGGACAAAGATGACAGAAGTGTCTGAAAAAGAAAATAAAGCTGAATACATTGTGACACATTCATTAGTTTGTATATATATCTAAGTAGATCATAAATACATTGACAATATGTCTTCATCTGACTGAACTGACAGCAAACTAATGTTCATTCTTTTTGTCTGATCCTTCAGTGTAAATATTTAAAAAGAAGTATGGTCATATCCTTAAAATCAGATTCAAACACTTCCTATAAATCAGTGAAATGTCCACTGTGGCCCGAGACAAGGTGGGGGTGTGCCCTTTCCGTATTACTGCAGTGAAGTTTGACTGTTCTGGACATTAACATTATGGTAATAAAGTAACCAGTTTTTTAGGGATGGTGTACATTAATAATTTAAGGAAACTGGTCATGTTTCCTGTTATTCTCCATTTGTTCAAAGTTCATATGATGCTGACACAAAAGTAACAGTTCCATTGCAAGACTACTGTTAACACATCTCCAAGCACTCAGGATCTAGTGAGTGAGTGAGTGAGTTACCAATGCAAATTTGAACAGTATTTCTGTTATTTCACAGTTCATAAGCTAGATCTGCGATGAAAGTCTGGAGTGATGTAGATCCCAGATGTGCATCAATTTGGGGAAACCCTCAAAGGTTGTGGTGGTGACAAACCAAGAAACTGGGATTTGAACCCATGATCATAAGGTTCCCAGAGTGCTCATGGGATGCAACTCTGTATAGAGTGAGTGAGTGAGTTTAGTTTTATGCTGCTTTTAGCAATATTCCAGCAATATCATGGTGGGGAACACCAGAAATGGGCTTCAAACATTGTACCAATGTGAGAATCGAACCCGGATCTTCGGCGTGACGAGCAAACGCTTTAACCACTACCCCATCGCCCGGCTCTGTATAAAGAACAGCAGCACCTTAGACAATTGGGCCCCCCATATTCCCCTGCTCACACTGACACTATGAGACGTTGAGACCTACCTTCTCAATGGGGCATCCAGCCTCATTAAGCAGCCCCTGTGAGTGAGACAGAAGGAGCTGCAGGAGCTTATCTTTTATTTCCTCGGCTGTGCTTGCTTTGGTGGACTGCAAGACGAAACAAATCGGTCAACACGCAAAACTACCGCAGCGGACAAAATCGGACATACGCCATGTGTAACTGGACAGGAGGAAGTCCAGGTGATACGGAATCAGGGAGGAGGGGAGCAAGGGGAGAGTACTCATCCATACACACTTTCAACTTTTGTAGCTGGTACCATGTAACTACAGTCGAACCCTGTTTACTTGGACCCTGTGTATCCGGAAACCCCGCCTTCTGGACGATTCAGGCAAACCATTCATGATCAGTGGGGAAGGGGGAAGGAGATTTACTTGTTTGATAGACCCATCAACCATAAAGATTGAATATGATTTTTTTTTTTATAAAAATGAAAATATCTTCTTAGGTTTATTAACTGATTAAAATATCATTCCACAATAAGAATGACAATGAAATGCCACTGATAGATTTAAAATGTACCCATCTAAATAAAAAGAAGATTACAAACATCCTATAACATGCATCATATTTATATTGATTTTTCATCTTACCAACAAAAAAAACAAACAAATAAATATCTGGCTAAGCAGAAGCATATAAAAGTCAAGGAGATCACTTGGTTCGGAAACAAAATTCTTGCTGTCATTGCATGTCGTCAATGATTAATTTGGCTGACATAAAACATAGTTCTACCACTGACATCTTCCCCGACACTTGTCCCTGTCTTGTGACAGACATATACCAGGGACACTTATCTACTGATGTACAGTGCAGTCTGACTGCTGGCATCTAGGCATCAAAGTGTTGTTGCTACAAGATTTACAGTCGACACTTGGGACTTATGCAGGAAGTGGCCTAATCCTATAATATGCTCAACTTCCATCTCAGTGAATGCAGATTCATATGGCATCAATAGCTAGATGTTTCCACGAGGAACTCTGATTAGCAAGTGCTGGTATATGATACTGTACATATTGATTAACAGTTCGTAGAGTTATCTAGGGTGAGTCAGTGAGTGAGTTTAGTTTGACGCCGCACTCAGCAATATTCCAGCTATATGGCAATGGTCTGTAAATAATCAAGTCTGGACCAGAAATCCAGTGATCAACAGCATGAGCATCGATCTGCGCAATTGGGAACCGATGACATGTGTCAACCAAGCCAGTGAGCCTGACCATCCGATCCCGTTAGTCGCCTCTTACGACAAACATGGGTTACTGAAGGCCAATATTCTAACCTGGATCTTCCCGAGTGAGTCAGTGGGTGAAAGAATGTTGTTACGTGCTACTGATTGTGAATCATCAAAACCAGCACATGACATCATGAGCAATAATCCACCCATCTTGGTCTGATGATGCACAATCAGTAGGGTCGCAAATTATAATTACCCAATCCTTGTGTAAGTTTGTGCTCAAGCATGGGGTAGTGGGGACCTACTTGAGAATCTCATAAGTAACCATAAATTGAAAGTTCTTCAGTAAAATTGAATCATTCAAATACCTTCACCTATGCCATCGTCACCATATGTTTTCTCAAATATTTACCTAGAATCCTAAACACCTATATTCTTAACACTGTACAGAAAACAAACCACCACAACCACAAAGAAAGCAAAGTTTTTTAAAGGGAGGTAACTCTAAAGTCCTACCTTGCTAAGTGAATTCTGAGCGTGGCAACATTGGTGAGTTCACTGAGAATATCATCCACAGTGGACTGGGGACCATCAGTAATGGCATCAAATGTGAGTGGTTTCCAGTTCTTGATTTGAATGGCACCTGAAAAGTAAACAGGTATGGGACAATGAGAGACCATAATGGGAGTCAGCCATTACATGACATGGGGTTCTCTGGTAGCTGAGTGATGACTGGTCTACATGGGATTACGTTAGCCATCTCTGGATGATGTACACCTAAGGCATGGCAGTTAAGTAGGGTATATAGTGTTGGTGCAGTATAATTGGTATGTTGTGCCAGGAATTGTGCAAAACTCTTAAACTTCTTTATGGATATCAACATTTAATCAGATATTGTAAAGAATGGAGGGACTGTTGAGGGTAATAGGTGCACATGATGGTGTGATGGTGTGATGGTGGATACTGGTGTGCAGGTGCGGATACAGCTTTTTGAGAAAGTGGGGGTGCACACTTCATTTTCACCTGATTTCACGAGAGTTTCAATGGTCTTATAAAAAACTTTCAGGATCTGGATCCACCTATGGTGTGGGTGGGATGGAATGGTATGGGAGAATTGTGTGGTATGGGGTGGAGGAAGATTCTGGTGTGGATGTGGGTGGGGCAGAGACGGGTGTCGGGTGGGATGGGGTGGAGTGGGGCAGAGACTGGTGTGGGTGGAATTGGAGAATGGTGCGTTAGAGGGTGGTGGTAGTGTGCGCATTGTGGGTGCAATTATGGGTGGCAGTGCTCGTTGTGCAGTGAGTTTACAGGTAGTATTGGACAGCTTGGGCTGGGATTAGCCAAGGGCAGTGTGTGTTGTAATGTATGTGAATAATGGTGCCAGTGTATTGTGTGGCACCGGTGTGGCATGTTGTGTGGTGTGAGATGGAAATAACGATGGTAGTGTGTTGGGTAGGATTATGGTTGTGAGTGGAGAGATACGTGGTGACAATGTTTTGATTGGGGTGGAAATAGGGATGACTGTGTGAGATTTAGTTTCTGAAGGGCTGGGGCAGGATTAGTGGTGGCAGTGTATGAAGAGATGTGGGGTGGCAACACTTGGTGTAGGGATGGGTGAGGTTGGTAGTGTGATCGGAGGTGTTGTGTGTGTATGTGGTTGGGTGGGAATAGTGGCAGCAGTGCATGATGAGATGTGGGGTGGGATTCAGGTTGATATGCGCATGGTCTGGGACATGAAAGGTGTGTACAGTTCAGTGTGTAAGATGATGTACTACCTTTTGCGTTCATGGCGTCTGTGGCGGAGTAGCCAAGCTTGAGTAGTGCGGTGCGGACCAGATCGCCCAGTAGTGTGGAGCAGGGGAGGATGGCATAGCTATCCAGCTCAACCTGACTCCCTGTGCATGTGGAGCTTGTCACCCCGGCAAAAGACGGCACACCTGATATCTGCTCCACTAGACAATGAATTGGTAGTGACTTCCCTGGACCTGCAACAAAATCAATCATAAATATAGCAAATATAGCAAGACATTGGAGCATAATTTTTTAATAGATTAGGAGCAGTTCTGTCAGATAAGAAATATTGAAGTTGCCACAGATCTTCCTTGATGATGTATCATCTTCTCCACTTGCATACTACCATGAAGGGCTATGGGTAATATAAAGAATATACACTACCCTCCATGAAGGGATATAGGTAATATAAAGAATATACACTACCCTCCATGAAGGGATATGGGTAATATAAAGAATATACACTACCCTCCATGAAGGGCTATGGGTAATATAAAGAATATACACTACCCTCCATGAAGGGATATAGGTAATATAAAGAATATACACTACCCTCCATGAAGGGCTATGGGTAATATAAAGGAATATACACTACCCTCCATGAAGGGCTATGGGTAATATAAAGAATATACACTACCCTCCATGAAGGGCTATGGGTAATATAAGGAATATACACTACCCTCCATGAAGGGCTATGGGTAATATAAACAATATACACTACCCTCCATGAAAGGCTATGGGTAATATCAGGAATATACACTACCCTCCATGAAGGGATATGGGTAATATCAGGAATATACACTACCCTCCATGAAGGGATATAGGTAATATAAAAAATATTCACACCCCTCCATGAAGGGCTATGGGTAATATCAGGAATATACACACCCTCCATGAAGGGCTATGGGTAATATCAGGAATATACACACCCCTCCATGAAGGGCTATGGGTAATATCAGGAATATACACACCCCTCCATGAAGGGCTATGGGTAATATCAGGAATATACACACCCCTCCATGAAGGGCTATGGGTAATATCAGGAATATACACACCCCTCCATGAAGGGCTATGGGTAATATCAGGAATATACACTACCCTCCATGAAGGGATATAGGTAATATCAGGAATATACACTACCCTCCATGAAGGGATATAGGTAATATCAGGAATATACACACCCCTCCATGAAGGGCTATGGGTAATATCAAGAATAACATCCTCGCAACTCAGGAGTTATGGATTATATGTATCTCTTGAATTAATGTTCAAGATTGTCGCTAAGGCTTTTACTTCACTCAAGACAGATAATCATTAATCTTTGTTCCTCATTGTTTATTCCTTAAGGCAAACCTAGTATAATGTTGCTTTAATGCAGATGTCAGTCTCACTGTGTTGTCTGACAGAGTGTCAAAAGAGTAAACAGTAAATCTTTAGGTTATTTGATGATTTTAGGGCAATGATAAATATCCATGAGCACTGTAAGCTAGGAACTGAACTTTGGACATCCTAAATGACATTAGATTTTCTTGTGTCCTTTTCCTGTAAAATGTGATATACAGTGTGTATGCTGATTCACCTGCAAATTGATGCATTTACACCTGACAATACGATACATGATCGGCCTGCTCATGTTTCTAGTCATATCCAAATGTTGTATTGATTTTCGAAAAGAAATATTTAAGACGTTTTGCAATAGCTCAGAATAGCATTACCTCACCATTATGAAACAAAACGCTAAAAACGTTTTCATAATACTGTCTGAAGGAGCCTGGATCATGCAAGTTTATCACTAATTGGCTGACATGATGACTTCATGTTCATGGGATTTAGTATCCTGACATGTAGCATGGTGTGACCTAATCATGATTATATACGTATCACTACCTACGGAAGGCATATTGTGATACCTTACGAGTAGACCCAGCAAAGGCCTGGCTATATAACTAATGACATGGATATGAAAACACATCTATTACACAAAGCAATTTAATAATACAAGATAGGTATACAGTTATACAAAACTGACATTGAACTTATCCTCACGACATTCAACAAAGACTCTACATGGAGTCATAACACACTAATTCAATTCTTTATTAACCTTGAGTTTTACAACTTAGCGGTGGCTATACAAAGCATAAATTGATATAGCATAAATTGTACAGGTGGACGGGTTTGACAATATTGGTGGTAAATATTCATATACATATGGAGAATGCACATAATTATTTTAGATACAAATTTCTTATATTACATGCAGTAAACAAATATTACCAAGATTGCACAACTGTTTAACATACTTTAAACAAAATAACTGGATTAATTTATAGACAGATGGATTTTTCAAGTAATATGGCTAATAATATATTTTTGTCTGACATTTACATACAGAGGACAAATCAAAACAGAGTGAAACTCGTTCTTCAATATCATAATTACAATTGATACACTTTCTTTCATTTACATTTATATTTTTATATTTATCACATTTAATTGATACATTATGGGCAGACAAGCGAAATTTTGATAAGCATTTTCTATAAATTAGTGGAATAGATTTTGTTAAATAATATTGCAGAGTACAACAATATATGATATGCTGATAGATAATACAGATAGAAACTAGATATCTGTCCAAATATACATTGAAACGCTTGATCATCAATTCTTTGTTTGATTACAGGTAGAAAATTTGGGAACAATTCTTGTTTGTACCATATTTCAGCAAAACCAATAGATGTCAAAATAGATTTAACCTGATAAGCCCAATTTTTTACAGAACGCGATTCCACATCATTACAAAGATATTCATAGCAGCCCCTTAGGATACAGTTATCAGTTTCCAACAATTTTAACCAATATTTTATCAATACATGACTCTCAACACCCATAATGGACTCACATAAAACTCCACACTTGTAAAAACCTCTAGATGGACTCACAACTCACACTACATGGAACTCACATTAAGCTCTTGATGGACTCACAATAATCTCTACATGGGACTCACTTTAAACTCTTGATGGACTCACAATAATCACTACATGGACTCACTTTAAAGTCTTGATGGACTCACAATAATCACTACATGAACTCACATTAAACTCTTTTGATGGACTCACAATAATCTCTTCATGGGACTCACTTTAAACTCTTGATGGACTCACAATAATCACTACATGGACTCACTTTAAAGTCTTGATGGACTCACAATAATCACTACATGAACTCACATTAAACTCTTGATGGACTCACAATAATCTCTTCATGGGACTCACTTTAAACTCTTGATGGACTCACAATAATCTCTTCATGGGACTCACATTAAACTCTTGATGGACTCACAATAATCTCTTCATGGGACTCACTTTAAACTCTTGATGGACTCACAATAATCTCTACATGGAACTCACTTTAAACTCTTGATGGACTCACAATAATCTCTACATGGAACTCACATAAAACACTTGATAGACTCACAATAATCTCTACATGGGACTCACTGTAAACTCTTGATGGACTCACAATAATCTCTACATGGGACTCACTTTAAACTCTTGATGGACTCACAATAATCTCTACATGGACTCACATTAAACACTACATATACTTGCAACCCCCTCCATAAATTCACAATTAAGTCCCATGGACACACAAGCACCTCTACACAGTTTTCACAGTTAGCACATGTACTGTGAAAAGTAAAGCAATATGATGTCATTGAAACAAATGTAACGTGTGAAATACACATAATGACTAATTCGACCTGTCACAAACTGAGAAAATCTCTCACTAACTGCCTGGCTGATACAACATGATTCACCCCTTAAGAGTCCAGTAAGCTGTGGAGAGTCCAGGGAGCATGTAGGTGAAATGTCACTCTCAACAGTATCTTTGTCATATTATTGTATATGAGGCGATGTTTACTGCTGCTTTCATGATTACTGTACAAACACAATGGTAAATGTCTGTGCTTGTATTAGTCCAGACTATTGCTGTATCGAAGAAAAAGAACATATGTTTTGTCACTCTGGTACCACTTACAAGCAGGGGTAAGGTTGTATATGTCCCAGGGAGCTGAGAATGAAAATTGAGAACACACTCATTCATAGACTAACATCTAATCTCTGAAATGACCATATTTTACAGAAGCAACAGTGCCCATGTTACCCTCATACAATATAATAAAAAGGAGCCTCAAGACTTCATTTTCAGAACCTGCTTAATCTAGACTTGCCACTTATTCTAGACTTGCATGGTCTGTATTGGTATGTTAGTTTTAGGGTCTGTATGACAGACTAACTCATTCATAGACAGTGGTAATGACATTGTGGTGCCATGTGTATTGACTTGGTGAAACCCTTGAAGATCCGGGTTAGAATCGATCTTCAGTAACCCATACTTTACGTAAGAGGCTGACTAAGCAGGGATCGGGTGGTCAGGTTTGCTGACTTGGTTGACACATGTCATCCTATCCCAGATGGGTAGATTGATGCTCATGCTGTTTGTCACTGGATTGTCTGGTCCAGACTCGATTATTTACAGACCGCCGCCATACAGCTGGAATATTGTTGAGTGTGGCATAAAACTAAACTCACTCACTTGGTGAATGGAAGCTGCCAAATTCCATATGGACTTATATAATGTCAACGTAATAACGCTCTGCTGCAGATGTGACATCGCTGCGATGTAGATGTTATTGTCCCTGTCATAGCTTCAAACCACATTCACAAACATCAATCTTTCAAAATATTTATCAAAATCATATCAATAAACCTCGCTTATCACATACAGCATTCTTTGCCAAAATAGTTAAGTCTACTTGCCCCAACTTTTCACATTGACTCATTTCTACAATATCATTCTTTGTCATATAGGACTCCTTAACCAGAGCTTCCTAGACCAAGCAGAATTTTACTAGACCCAGGTTTCAAACTAGTGGAAAAAGCTTAATACTGAAAAGGTTCTTGTTCTTGTAAACAAAATCAAAACAAGTAAAAAATACATGAAAGATAACGACAGAAGCACTCAAGAAATAAAACATACTAACCAAAAGAATTTCCAGTTTTGTATCCAAAGTGTCTGTAAAATGGTGACAAGCAAACAGGGGGATACATTTCTGGACTGTCGTTCCCCGGTAATCTATCTCTCCATAATGACATATCCCACACACTGACCAACACTCCAATAC